CACTCACTGCACTGCACTGCAGTACAACTACAAGTCAAGTCCAAAAGGAGCCGCCTGCGTCCGCGCCGCAGACTCACGCCGCACAGCACGTAGACGTGGACGTGTTCAGTCCACGTACGTCAGTCACACGACAGCCCGCCGAAAAAAAGTTACGGTCGGGCTGAAATTGTACGGTCGGTCGGGTGAGTCGAACCACACACCTTCTTTAGTTTGGCCTAATAATAATATTACCGAAATCAAAACTTCCCGCGGAAAATCCATGTTTCTCGTACCAAATTTGTACGCGAAAAATCTTTCTGCACCCGATACCAGTCTAACATCGGAAGCCTCGCTCTATAAGTTCAAAGCTGCCCTCAGGAAATTTACAGCTGACTATGCTTATGCAATCAACGAATTCCGCCACCTTGCAGTTGATTTTCCCCATTTCTCTCCTCATCAATCCCTACTTCTCTTTGTACATTTTTTTTTTTTTTTTTTTTTTTTTTTTTACTAAAAAACACAGCCCTACTAATAATCAGGGAAGAGGACAACTGAAATGACGCTGGACAACAAGACAAAGGGGAGTAGGGCGATGTGCCGATGTGGTTGGCGAGGCTCATCCGACCGGAGGTCTCGGAATCATAGCCTACGACCAGGCATCGTTAGGAATGCAGCTAGGGAGGGAGGGAGATCAAGTGAGAGAGAGAGAGAGAGAGAGAGAGAGAGAGAGAGAGAGAGAGAGAGAGAGAGAGAGAGAGAGAGAGGGGGGGAGAGGGAGGGAGAGAGAGAGAGAGAGAGGGAGAGAGAGAGAGAGAGAGAGAGGAGAGAGAGAGAGAGAGAGAGAGAGAGAGAGAGAGAGAGGGCGGAGGGAGAGAGAGAGAGAGAGAGAGAGAGAGAGAGAGAGAGAGAGAGAGAGAGAGAGAGAGAGAGAGAGAGAGAGAGAGAGAGAGAGAGAGAGAGAGGGGGGGGGAGAGGGGGAGAGAGAGAGAGAGAGAGAGAGAGAGAGAGAGAGAGAGAGAGAGAGAGAGAGAGAGAGAGAGAGAGAGAGAGAGAGAGAAAGAGAGAGAGAGAGACAGAGAGAGAGAGAGACAGAGAGAGAGAGAGAGAGAGAGAGAGAGAAGAGAGAGAGAGAGAGAGAGAGAGAGAGAGAGAGAGAGAGAGAGAGAGAGAGAGAGAGAGAGAGAGAGAGAGAGAGAGAGAGAGAGAGAGAGAGAGAGAGAGAGAGAGAGAGAGAGAGAGAGAGAGAGAGAGAGAGAGAGAGAGAGAGAGAGAGAGAGAGAGAGAGAGAGAGAGAGAGAGAGAGAGAGAGAGAGAGAGAGAGAGAGAGAGAGAGAGAGAGGGAGAGAGAGAGGGAGAGAGAGAAATAAATAAATAAAATAAAACAAGAAAGAGATGAGAAGAGAAATAAATATAAAACAAGAAAGAGATGATGGACGAGGGTAGTTGCTCATTGACGGGTGGCATAGCCTCACAGGGAGTCCGTAGCCCAGAGCCAATTCTTTTGACGCAAGTGGCGATGGACCTTCGTCTTGAAGGATTGGAGGGACTTCAACTGGGGCATCGGATCCGGAAACATGTCTTGCGGAAGCCTGTTCCATTCATCCACTACACCATATGGGAACGAACGCTGGAGAAAGTTGGGGGCCGTAGGGAGGAGCACTGCTTGTAGCTGATGCTGGTGGCGGACACGGAGCTGCGACCTTGTCCGCGGGACGAGGCTAGCTTCCTGGCGAGGCGGCACGAGCGCAGAGAGATCTGGATGGTCTTGAAGGCACATTAGCTTGTACATGTACGTGAGAGCGTACACTTGGCGGCGGGCAGCTAGGCTCTGCAGCAAGGCGTCAGGACCAATGATAGCAAGGGCCTTCCGCTGTACTCGGTCGAGACTTTGTAGGTGAGAGTTGGCTGCGCCCATCCATGTCAATGGTGCGTATTCGAGTACAGGGCGTACGAAGCCTCTGTACGTTGTCAAGCGTCCTTCACGACCAAGGAAACTTGATGCTCGACGCAGAAATCCTAGTCGGGCTACGGCACGAAGAGAAACATTGCGGAGGTGGCGTCTGAAGGTGAGTTTGCTGTCGAAGGTCACTCCCAGAAGCTTCAGCTCGTCCCCACAGGGAATATCATGGGCTCCGAACGTTAGGTCTGGGAGTGGCCAGGGGTTGCGGTGGTGGCCAATATGCAGCAGCTGCGACTTTGTCGGCTCAAAGCGAATTTGCCATTGTTCTCCCCAGCTACTCAATCGATCCAGGCTAGATTGCATGTCTGCAATACTGCCAGCAGAGTCATGTCTGGATCGAATGATGGTGTACAGCGTGGTGTCATCTGCGTACACACCCATTCGTGTTGATGGGGAAAGACAGGTCTCAGCATCGTTGACATACATCAAGAATAAGGTGGGTCCCAGGATGCTGCCTTGGGGTACGCCAGCTTTAATCTGGAATTGAGCAGATTCCTGTCCATTGACGATTGCGCTTAGTGTGCGATTCCGCAAATAGTCCCGTAGCCACTGCAGCAGGCTACCGCCAATACCGAGAGTGGCCGCTTTGTGTAGGAAGCCGGGGTGCGACACGCGGTCAAACGCACCAGCAATGTCGACAGCCAGGACGTGGGCACAGCCACCAGAACCAGCTGCCAGCGACCAATCATGCCCAAGCACTGCTAGTAGGTCCGCTGTTCCAAGGCCACTGCGAAATCCGTACTGCTTGGTTGACAAGAGATGATGTTTTTCAAGGTGATTCACAATTTGACAGTTCACAATACGCTCCATCACTTTGGAGATGATGGGGAGGAGGGAGACTGGGCGGTAATTCTTAGGGTTGGATAGGCTGCCCTTCTTGTAGACTGGCACAACTCGAGCACTCTTCCAGGCCTCTGGCTGGACCCCCTTACGGAAGCACAGGGCGAAGAGAGACGTGAGAGGCGATGCAAGTTCATGGGAGCACTCTTTGAGCACTCGGGCAGGGATGTTGTCCGGGCCGGACGCCTTGCCAACGTCGAGCTGGTTCAGGAGGCGTTTCACTGTTTGCAGGCGGAAGTGGATTCGGCTAAGTGGGGTGACCCCGGGTTGGCGAACATGAGGGAGATCCCCCGGGCCCAAGTCATCATCTCCAAGGCTACATTTATTGGCGAAGTAGCGACCAAGGCAGTTCGCTTTGGCAGCATTCATACGGAGTTGGTGACCAGCGTCATCTACCAAGCATGGTATAGACGAGCCATGACTGGCGCCAGCAGCAGATTTGAGCACCGACCACCATTGCTTGTCTTTCAGGCCTCCGCGTGACAGTTTCCGACGAACTCTCAGTTCCCAGGATGTGCGAGCTCGCACATTCGCGAGGATAGCATCTTCTACTGAGCGCATGAAGCAAGCCTTGTGGGCTTCGCTGAAAATATTGTGTCTCCAGGCCTTCCATGCCTTGTCTTTAGTGTTCAATGCTGTAGTGCACTCAGGAGTCCACCATTTGGGGTCTGCTGGGCGGGTAACAAGCTGCTTGGCGGGGATAAATTTCTGCATGCCACTGGAGATGACGTCACTTAGCTTCCTGCAGGACTCTTCAGGGTCGTCAGTCACAATGGTGGACCAGTCAGTAGTGCGATAGAAGGCCCGCAGGCGCCCCCAGTCTGCCTGATTGTAGCGCCAGACAGTCCTGGAGGTAGCTTGCTCAGCATCAGGGGTGAGGTAAAAGTCGGCAAGAACAACCCCATGGTCAGAGCGACCAAGTGGCGCTTTGACAGTGGTGTCGATAGGAACGGGCATGTTGGAGAGGATGAGGTCCAGGGTGTTCAGACCCCTAGTCGGCTGCAAGACATGCTGGTGGAGTTGATGCTCAGCACACAATTCTTCTAAGGCCTCTCCAGCTACAGTTGTTTTGCTGCTGCAGAGCCAAGTCTCGTGATGGACATTAAAATCCCCAGCTAGCACTATGTGAGTGCCGTGAGTGCGGGCCACGTCTAGTGCAGGTCCAAGATACTCAATCAGACAGGTGTCGTTGTCCGCACAGGATCCAGGCCGATACAAGGCACCGATAACAACAGATTGTTGCGTGGAAAGACTCACGGCGAGCCAGAGGACTTCGTGGTCATCAGTGGGAATCTGGTCGAGGTGCACTACTGGGAGGCCGGACTTCACCCATACAGCAATGCCGCCACCAAATGCATCCCGGTCACGTCGGATGGGAGGCGAGTATCCTGGAAATATTGTCTCAGAGGCTACGGTCTGGGTCGAGAACTTCGTTTCTGTGATAACCGCTATGTCGACGTTATCGTTGAGCAGTGCATGCTGCAGCTCTCCCAGCTTGTTGGTGAGGCCAAATGCATTGGTCACCAGCCAGCGGAGCGGCGGAGCTCCACTGATCATTGCGGGGTGCCAGCAGATGCCGTGCTGTCGCTGTCAGCGCTGTCAGCACCATACATCTACATCTACTGTTCTTTCAATCAAATGAACCCCTCGATAGGCACATTGCCTTTGGGTCATTTCATAATAATAATAATAATAATAATAATGACGCAAAATCTCCATACGAAACATGGTTCCTGTGAAAGCCAGTCCACAGTCCGTGCAGAAAAATCGTATGGATCACGCCTGGAAAAAATCCGTAGCGCCCACACGGATTTTGGCACGCAAAATCGTACCCCGGAAGCTACTGCCTGTCGCGAGCTGTCGCAAGCTGTCGCAAGCTAGCTAGCTGTCGCAAGCTGTCGCAAATTCGCAATGTCCTGTCGCAGAAGTTGAAGAAAGTTCAATTTTTGCGACATGCGACACGCGACACACAAATGGAGTACAGTTTCGACCCTGGGTGCACGTGCAGTGCGCGTGCATAGTTCTACTTGTGCATGAGGATGTACTTATATGTCGCAAACATGAAGACTATTATTGTGAACCGTGTACGCGTGTGCCGACGGCATGTCGCCATGCGCAGATCAAAATATGGTTGATTTCTCTACGCACTGCACGCAGGATTTGTATTTGTATTTTTATTTGTATTTACGATTGCCAAGACTGCAAGGCAAGTTGTGGAAAACGAAACCACGAAAAGGAAATCGGAGCTCCAACTGAATGGAAGTACTGACGGTACTGTAGCTGAAAACATCCAAGCACGCGAATGCCCTGTAGGCGGAGGACAAGCCGAATCAGGGATTTTTCAATGTAGCGAATAGAAATTAGCTTCTGTAGACAGAGTGACACGCGATCAAGATGACGGGATGGAAATCAAATAGAAATGAGGTAAGGACGTTTGGAGAGGGTTTTATTTTACATGTATATAAATCTCAACCAGTAATGCATGGGTTTGGTACAAACTCTGCATTGAGTGCATGCTTGGTTTGTCCTGATCCTGATTGGGGAAATCCTGCCTCTCACGTAGAAAGTGCTAGTCTTTCGTCTCCATCACGCATATGTATGCAATTAATAATATTCGCGGGATCCGCGTCTCCATCGCTTGAATGTTCAGAAACACACAGACTAGCCTTCGCACCCGCAGGCCACCACTATGCCAGTTCACCTTATGTATGTGGCTGTTGCATTCTGACAATAAGTCAACATTATTATTTGTTTTGCACTCACCAAATCATACACCTCACTATGTGTTTTTTTTGGTTCTCCGTGAAGATAAGAATGATATTAGAGAGTTTCTGGGTACCATTAATCCGTGCCAAAATCCGTATGGGCGCTACGGATATTTTCGAGGCGTCCTCCATACGATTTTTCAGCACGGAAAATCTGTGTGGACTGGCTTTCATACGAACCATGTTTCGTAAGGAGATTTTGCGTCATCGGGTGCAGAAAGACTTTTCGCGTACAGATTTGGTACGAGAAACATCGATTTTCCACGAGAAGTTTTGAATTCGGTACAAATTTTTAAAAAAAGGCAAAGCGCCGGAGTGTGACGTGTTTGGGATCGTAACCTAAGTAATGACGGCAAACACATAAGTGCCGTACTCCTGAACATTTTACTGCTCGAAAACGACGTTTCAAAAATCCGTAACACGTCTACGGATTTTGGCACGAAAAATCGTCCTCCGGAACCTCTCTATTAACGAAATGGATAGGACAAGTTGCGCACTAGTTACAAAAACCACGAACAAAAAACTACTTGTCATTTACATGTACCGGTAAATTCCTTGAACGTTGTTGAGGCCATCCCATCAGAAAAATTACTGGCATATTAAACTTCATCCAAAAACTCAATATAAATAGGCACAGTGCAGAGCAGTGCATTCAACGTATTCTTTGAAGGTGTACATATGACTTGGTTTTGAATGTGTGCAAGGACTTCAGGATGGATGGAGTGTTTAACACAGGGCACACAGGGCAGACCATTACAGGCTTCAAGGGCACAATAGGATAACACACTGGAATGCCGGACCGGAGTGGAAGCGAGCAGGTTATGATCTAGCTGGTGGTTCTGACATTGTCGCTGTTTGGCTCTGATTCGGGGTATAGCAGCTAGAGTCAGCAGGCGGGGGGGGGGGGGGGGGAGGGGAAAGGGGAGGGGTGCGTGGTGAGCACTTGACGAGGACAATCCAGGTACGGAATCTTATAAAGGCACGCAAGCGCATACTCCATTCTCCCGGCAGCCAAGCTTTGCAGCAAGGCTGCTGGCCCAGTGATGCATAGGACTCCATGCGGGACGCTGTCAATGAGAGTGAGGTTGCATGGTGCTTTGCCCACCCATGTGAGCCAGGCATACCGCAGAACTGGCCGTATGAAGCTGTGATGCAGTATGTCACCAGCGTACCCTGAATTGCAGGAATCTTGGCTGCGCGTTTCTTTTTGTTGTTTGTTTTTACGTTACATGGCAAACCAGGCTGGAAGGCTTGCCCAATACTGTGGTGGAGATGGAACGGTACAGCAACACGAAAAATCAGCCTGAAAGACGTTTCAAGTGAAAATACCAGTATTTTGTATTTTATTTAAATGCCAAACATGAGATGCAGCTAGGGGAAGCATCTCCTATTGCATGCACACCTTCACTATTTCGTATCCCCCCCCCCCCGATCCAATAGGCCAAGCCTGCGTGAAATCTCCACAGTAATAGAATGACAGCCAATGATACATATATAATAAATGTAGAGCCGAAGTATTTAGTGCAATTACACCCCAGTATAAAAACCGAGGTCCCCGAGGTTTTATAATTGGTATGTAATTGCAATAAATCCTGAGGCTAATACATTTATCATACATAATTATGTTGACCTTCACTTTCCCTAAAAAGGAGTATTTTATAAACAGTATTTATTGGCTTACGGTATTTTATAAACAGTATTTATTGGCCCAAAAGCCAATAAATACTGTTTATAAAATACCACTAAGGCCAATAAATACTGTTTATAAAATACTCCTTTTAGGCAAAAGTGCAGTGCTGCATGGAAAAGTACAGCGGTATTTATTGATTCGGGCAAATTTAAACACACGGCGAGGAGACAATAATTTGATAACCGCAATCAGTAAAACTAGCTGAACCGACATTTGTGTACTTTATTCATGCAATGTAAAAACGGTGGAGACGATGTGCAATAATACGATGAAAATATGAAGAAATGGTGTAGGGAAAAAATATGGATTCAAACAAGTTTTCGTACAACACTCATCAGGAATTGTCGTTGTACTAAAGCCTTTAGTGTCGGACACTGAAACAAAAATTGAACTATTATAGAAAATTTAAGCTGGAGAAATAACATTAAGAGCAACAGCAGTGAAATTTACCAGTGTGAATTTTAACAATCAAAGCGAGAAATGAACAAAGGAGAAAGGAAGGAAAGACAACGTGATAACACATAACAGCAGTACATTACACTTGTTTGAATCCACATTTTTTCCCTACACCATTTCTTCATATTTTCATCGTTTTATTGCACATCGTCTCCACCGTTTATACATTGCATGAATAAAGTACACACATGTCGGTTCAGCTAGTTTTATTGATTGCGGTTATCGGGCAAATTTATTTGAATTTGATACTCTTGATGGTGTGGTCACTAATGAGTGGTATTTATCAAAGGTCAATATAATTACAATGGAACCACATCACATACACTGCAAGGACTTATCTGATAATATCCTCCACCTATAGTGCGAATTTAACTCGGATACTGAGCCAATAAATAGAATTAAAATAGAAGAAATCACATGGAAACGAGTTATGAAGCAACTATCCACTAGGTCTCAGGTCGTTGAATGTCTTAGTAGCCTGTCAGTTTTGTGCCCTGTTATCGCAATTTCTGACTGCTTATTACCTTGTTACAGTCGCGGATAGTTGCTTCATAGCTCGTTTCCATGTGATTTCTTCTATTTTAATTATACCTATAGTGCTCTTGTATTTCTCATGAATTTTTGCATGTGCGGTGCAACGATGTTCTGCAGTAATCAAGTGTATAATACTAGTAGGCAGGGTATAACAGTACGAATCGGAAATCCGGTCATCGGGAGGCAACACCCATGGAACTGTGAATGAAAAGCAGTGCCAGTTACTTTTCCCAGAGGCCACAAGCCATAAGGCCGGAATGAAACGCAACACCCACCCGGACTGCGGGCAACCCTCCAACAGCGTTTCCATGTGATTTCTTCTATTTTAATTACACCTGTAGTGCTCTTGTATTTCTCATGAATTTTTGCATGTGCGCACGGCTGTTACGGGGAGGTCACTTGGCAAGATGGCGGCGACCTGTAGCAACGCCCCTGGCAACAGAGGTCACACGGAAAGCGTGGGTACGCTCATCGCATTTTTCAAATTTTCATGATCATTTCTGCAGAAAGAAAAGGTTCTGTCACTTCGAATACTTGAAATAGTACTTTTATGGATTTCATCTCTTCAGTCTCTTGCTCGTCAAAAAATGTTGTTGGAGGCAGCTGTGCTCCGCGAAGTGCAACAGATACCGCTCAGTAGCAGATAAAGGAGATGTGCTTCGCAGCACTCTTTCGCAAAATGACGACCTGCGCCTCGGATCGTGGGAGAACCTTTTGTCAAGTTTACTCAATCTCCGGACAGCTATAGCTGTTTCGACCTTGTTAGGTCTCATCAGCGGAGTTCACAGACTCAGTGTGTGGCCGAACAGATCAGCAAGAATTAGTTCCAAACCTGTTACAGTGTTAGGTCTCATCAGGGGTGCTCAGAGTGTGTGGCCGAACAGATCAGCAAGAATTAATTTCAACCCTGTACAAGGAAGGACATGGCACTCGAGAAGGTGAAGCTTAGGAGTCACATTGCCTAACTTGCGTGCCAGAACCTCCGCTCTGCAGGTGGCCATGAAGGTGTGGATGGCATCACCCAGAACCTGCCTTGTTGCTGTTGTAAAAACCAGTTTGCCGCTGAACAGCTTGCGACATGCTGGATACTCTGTGAAGAGTCTCGATTAGCGATCTCTCAAGGCCTTTGCCTGGGCAAGCTATAAGCAGCTGAACCTCGCCGCTGTCCGCAGGTGTGCGGCTCTGCACGACTGTAAGGGGAACAGAAGTGAGGGCAGCAATGACATCCGGTTTCAACGCACGGTGTATGTGGTTGCCGACAAATGCACCGGAGTGATATGCTTGCCGCTTTATTTGTTACTGTGGCAGTACTGCTTCCAAGGAAGTTACGCACGGGCCAGCTGCTTTAAAAAAAAATCTTTTACTGTTAATTTCTCATGCTCTTTTCGAGCCACATCACCTCTCATTCGTCAAATTGAGTTCCTTTTCTTTCTCCTTCCATAGAAAGTGCAGATTTGATGCCACAGTCTGCAAGCCAGCAGCCACCACTTCCTGCTGCTGCTGATTGTGCAGCATCACACACTGCAGCTGCCTAAGAATGCTTTGTGCTTCTGACTGTAGGTGTAGTTGTTGTGTTGCTGTGTCGTGTACGTTCTTGTAGCGTCACAAACTGCAGCTGACTAAGAATGCTTTGTGCTTCTGACTGTAGGTGTAGTTGTTGTGTTGCTGTGTCGTGTACGTTCTTGTAGGCATTGATAAGTGCTGTAAACGCTGCAGAGTCACCGTCATCTGCAGCAAGAAACATACATTTGCTCAGTGCAATATCGATTTGATGTGCGTCAGCACAAAGTGCACCGTAACTCCAGGGATAAATCCATAGATCTAGGTGGAGCACAGGAATACACACGTCTTGCAGCTCAACAGGAAGAATGGCTTTTCTAATCACGTTGTTGTACCGCCGTGCGTGCTGCAAGTTGGCACCTGCTGCAACGAACTCTGTATTTAAAGCGTTCCGGCAGCAAGTCAGCAATTGCTTTGTA